AATGCCGTTAAATCCTGGAAAATCCGCTCTCATAGAGAGTCGAACCCAGGACCTAAGGTGCTACTGAGGCTCTTGTAACCACCAACGACTATTATAACAAAACCAATCCATATTAACCAATAAAATAAAAAAACAATCCATTTGATTGTTTGGTGGGAAAAATATTCAAATTTCACTAGTACAGAAATGATTTTCCTGGACAAGCACCCTAATAGGTTGCAGACGGGCCATAAGTGTGCGAGGGAATGGCGGCCCCCTCCGGTGACGGCGGCCAAGCCCCGCACGAATCCGGCGACGGCGGCGGGTGTAGGCGATGGTGACGGCAGGCGAGGGCACGGCGGCCCCCTCCGATGGTGGAGGCGCGGGATCCAGTGGGTGGCAGCCAAACCCGACATGGATCCGGCGACGGCGGCCATCCTCGCATGGATCCGGCGGCCGGTCGCCCTCCCCCTGAGCGGAATCCGGCGCGTGGCGACCTCCCTCCCGACGACGGTGTGCGCTGGTCCTCTACTCCCTCTCCCTCCAGCTCCCCTCCCCTTCCTTCCCTCCCCTCCTAGATCCGGCAGAGGGGAGGGGCGTCAGCTGCGTTGCGGCCGGAGAGGAGGGTGGCGGCTGTTGCCTGCTTCCGTGGGGAGGGCGGATGCATCATTGGCGATCGCGGCAATGACGACGGCGGGCCTCGGATAGGGCGGCAACGATGACGGCGATGGTGGCGGCAGTCTCCCAACAACGGTAGCGTTGGATCCTCCGCCGCTGGGCCTCGGGCGGCTGAATCCGTCACCGGCGACCGCAGGGATGACGACGGCGGGCCTCGGGCAGGACGGTGGCGGCGACGGCGGAGGTGGCTAGATTAGGGTTCCAGGGCTAGGGTTTTTATTTCGTTTTTTTCTTTGTTGTGAATTTTTGTTTTCTTGTGCGGACGGCTTAAGTGCCCGCACGCGAAAATTGGATTTTCGTGTGCGAGTGTGTCACCCTCACGAAAAAATCGAATTTTTGCAGACCCCTCGGTGCAAACGGATGGGAGATCCGCACGCGAAAACCCCTTTCGACCTCACGGAAAAAATCATTTTTGTAGTGGTGTTTACATGGCTAAGCATGTTTGAAGGTTCGAGCATGGAATCTTATATCTTCATCTCTTTCGTCCGCTCTATTTTTTCCTCATACTCTTGTGACACGATGTCGTTGCTACCAACTCATCCTCGACAACACCTCCATGGAACTGGGCTAGCCCCGTCAGTCACCTATTCCCTTCTACCCTCCCAGCTCTTTTCTTGATCGATTCCATACTCGAGTAAATGTCTTCTTCTACAATTTTGATAATGACCTTTCCCCATGCTACTGAGCCTTCTCCATCTCCGATGGCTAGCATTGCCGGATCCGGTCACCACCCTGTCGCCTTGTGTGACATCCTGGGCCAATTAGGATGAGGTCTGTGTGGCCCATGAGAGCTGTGTGGGCATGTTTAGTACCACCTTGCTAGTTTAGCAAGGTTGGAACCAACTTATAAGGCATCTTCCCTCCAACCTTATCATTTCCGGTTTAACCCTTTTGCACAAAGCGAGGGCAAAATTGTAAGTGGAGTGGTATGTGTTAGTGGCCCGCTTGTCGTTTAGGCTGGGCTGCACGGTTGTGGAGGGAGTGCTGTTACACCTTGTAACCTTTTCGATTTTGTGTTGCAACAATTGACTTCGCTCTCATGACTCCGATGGCACCACCGTCACTCGGACCCTTCCTCTAAACCCTATATCCATCTCTTCACACTCCAATAAGACCTCTTAGATCCCTAATTCCATTCGTAACCTAATCATGCATGCCATTTCTGCACGATCACTGGAGTTAAAAGGAGCACTTTTAAAAAAAAGTCTGAGTACAAATCTTTGCATAGATCCAAAGTCGAGGAATTTAAGTGCTCTTGAAAATATTTTAGGCTATTGTTGACAGTTGTTAAGTGCAAACTTTAACTATCAACTCTTGCATAAAAGAATTCAAAATATAATATCAAACTTAGTGGTAGGGGTATTACTAACCATTTCCACTAGTATTGGTAAATATATTTATGTTGGTGAATTTGGAGAGATTTACACCCGCCATGCGACGCCACTTCCGGCCAATCATATGTGAGCATGAGGATTGGAGGGCCCACTTCCGGCCAATCAAAATCGACTTAAAATGGATCCAACCAAGGTGCAGTGCCATAGGGGCCCACCTGTCAGCCTCCCAGCCGAAAGAGCAGCTGAGAGGTGGGGCCCACAGTTTGGCCTAACCACCATAGACGCCACCCTCCATCTGCTTCCACGTGGAGGGCCTGGATCACTCCCCAATGACGGTTGTGGGTGAACCAACCTCCACAACCATCATAAACACCCTATAAAAGAAGGAGAAGCTCTCACTTTTAACTTGCACAACAATGCGAAGTACAAGTCATTTTTATATTTTAGGCACCACTTTAGTATGTGGAATTAGGTAGAGAGTGAGGGGAGCTCCAGAAGGAGTGCCCAAATATCGGAGTTCTCTCCGGGAAGTTGGTTTTGTCAACATTCTTCCACTGGAGTTCCGAAGAAGCACTGGAGTTGTTGTTCTTCTGCTCTCGCTTGTACCTTGGCGGATGCTTCTTTCAATAAAGTAAGTATTCGATATCTCCTTATGGTATTTAATTTATTTGCTTGAGTGAGTTATATTCCCATTGTTGCGGGTTCGTCGCTTAATTGAATTATTAACTGCTCTAGTACTAGGACTCTGGATAAAAAAAAAAGTTCATGCGCGAGACTAGAGTAGTAATCAATAACTTAGGCGTGATTTATAGGTTAGCGGTTACCGTGTGCTCCACGAAAAGTGAGGTAGGCGGCAGGTCGTGACAGTCATGTCTGCCCTTTGTATCCCTCCATATTCGGGTACATCATAGAGCCGTAGGCCAGACTCAGCTTGAGAGACCAGTGGAGAGCCGGTGTGCCCGAAGCAATCGACAGAGTTTTACCTTTAACTCAACACTAGTAAATTAACCCATAGGAATCCTTTTTAGTCTAAGCCTACCCTTAGTTGTTGTTCTTGGATTGAATTATGTTCTTAGATATACACACACATTCCCTATGATTCGATACTCTTGGAATGCTATGAGAATGTTAACGCCAAAATTTGATAAGATTCTTTAGTGGATTCGGTTAAGGAAAGATTACAATCAGTCGATTAAAAGCTTATCCAGAAGAGAACGGGTTCGAGAAGGAGTCACGAAGACCACGACATAGCAGCTTGAGTTTATATATTAATTAGGCAAGTTTTGTATTTAGGAAAGTTTGTGTCATGTCCAATCAGAACTTATGTTTTTCCTTTTATCTTTTGGAAAGTTTGTGTCGTGCCCGACTAGGACTCTTATCGGCCTATGGGTATAAATACGTACACCCGGGGTCCCTGTAATCTATCTCTCGATCAATACAACTAGTCTTGACGCATCACCACCTTATTTTCCAAGGTTTTTATTTATCACCGGCGGAACTTGGCACTTAACACGGGGCTGCATCGGCTTCGATCTCCTTCAAAGGAGTAAGCCCTATGTTCCGTCGGCCCTTGAATTATGTCGGCTGCATTGGTGTTATTCATGGCTGTATCGCTTTGACCTCTTGGATCACTCTGGTTCGGTTGATATTTTGCCTAACTGATATTTCGATTCTATCTTTAATCACATTGTGTTTAGAGACACATTAGTTTAGTTGAGACTGTATCGGTTAGGTCTGGTCTTCTGTCTTAGACGATATATCTCTACAATTACAATGTTGTTTTAAATATATGTGGTATGTCCATCATGTTTTCATAGGCTTATCGGCTTATTGAGTATTAGATTATTATATACAATCATCGGTTAGGTTTGACCTACTACATTATTGTTGATAATCTAAGTATTGTTAAGTCGATAGGTTTCTTACCTATGTTTTATCGGAGTGCTAGCCAATAAATTATTTGTGCACCAGACTTCCAGCCAACGTAAGTTTTAACCACTGAGCCAACATTTAATATTCAGCATAAATATCGTCGATTGGTTCATCGGGCATCTACTTCATTATATTATAATCGGCTGATTGGATTGTTTGTTAAAGTTCTATCATTGTTTATACAAGTGTTAGAATCTATATCGGACATATAGTCGATTGTTCAAAATTCTATGGACATTGGCTAGTATCGATATCAGCTAATATCGCTACATTTGCTTGTTAGCCGATCGGCTTTTCGATCATTTACATATTTATATGTCTTGTTAGTCGCAGGATCAAACTGACTAGCACGCCCGTATCTCATCAATAATTTAGAACCTGCACTAGCGTTTTTTTTCGGAGACCTGCACTAGAGTTAAGCAGATCTCCCAAACAATTGTGTTGTTTTTCGCGTCAATGGAGGTGAGTGTTACATCGATAATGGTGCGCTTGCGAATTTTAGATGTGACCGTATCACAACGACGACTATGTAGTTTTTTTTTTTTGTTAGTTCTCAACTTTATCTTTCTCTTTTTCACACGCATGTTTTCTCAACTACTAAATGATATGTATTTTACAAAAGTATTAGTAAGAAAGTTACTTTAGAAAATTATATTAACCAAAATTTTAAGTTATTTTAATTAATACTTAATTAGTTATGTATTAATCTATCGTTTTCCATGTTGCATACGAAGGGGAGGAGGAGTTGAGAATAAGTCACATCAACAGTAAATAAAGTCAAACTCGCGACAGGCGTGGCCGACCTCAACCACACCCGACCGTCCACTGAACCGGGACATCCTCACGGCTCTCCCCAATCCCCTATCCCCCAAACCCGTCCAGATCCATCGTGCCAGCTACTATAGCTCCCAAACACCGGTCGTAACTCGTAACCCCGTACGGAGCGTGTCGGTGTCCGGTGTCCCCCCGTATCTCCGTGCCCCCCCACCACCCACCCACCCACCCCCGTCACGTGCCGGCCATCCCAACCAAAACCAGCTCGTTTTCCGCGAGAACCCACGCCCCCCTCGGTCTCCCCTCCGTCTGCAGGGAGCCAGACACACGGGGTCGCGGCCCTCACGTGCCTCGCGCCGTGCGGCCCCCATCGCCGTCCTCATCCTGATCCTAATCCCAAGCGACCGCGGCGCGATCACGCGGCGACCAACCATTTCTCTCGTCGACGAGACGACGTGCCCGCCGCTCGCCACCCCCCCCACCCGCTCGCGCGGCATAAATACAGCACGCCACGCCCATCCCTCTCCCTCTCACCAACAACAGTAACCCAACCAGAGAGCTTGCGGAAGCGGGGGTTTGGTGCGGGCGCGCGCGTGTGAGGGGGGAGAGAAGGCCAGGAGGAGGCGACGCCGTCGCCCGAGGGAGGCAAAAATCCGATCCTCCTCCTGCCCTGCTCGCTCGCTCGCTCGCCTGCGCTGCGCGCACTTGGCCCCGTCCCGTCCGTTCCCGCTCGCCAGGTGATTTCTTGCAGCCATTTTTCCCCGAGATTACATGGTTTGTGGGGTTAGTTGGGTGGGTGGTGATGCCATTGTTGCGTCGAATGGCCCGCTGGGGTTGGATTTGAGGTCGCAATCCTCGTCGGTGTGCCCCGAATAGAGTGATTCTTGTCTGCTTCGGGGGATCTCGATTTGGGGATTAGGAGAAGCTTTACAATCTTCTCGATAGTATACAAGATTTTCTTTCTGATTTATCTGCTGTTTTTGCGCTCAAAATGTGCAGGCATAGAAAGATGGTGCTCTGGGTCTTCGGCTATGGCTCCCTGATCTGGAACCCCGGATTCGACTTCGATGAGAAGATCCTGGGCTTCGTCAAGGGCTACAAACGCACCTTCAATCTTGGTACGATAGATTTACTCCTGGTTGTCTTGGAAAATGGGCTTGGAAATGCAGAATCAGTAGCTTAAACTTGCCGCTGTTCTATATTGGCCTCAACTTTTATGTGTGCATCTTCATATTTTTCTTCCTCCCTGCAGCTTGCATTGACCATCGGGGCACGCCGGAGCATCCTGCGAGGACCTGCACACTTGAGTCCGACGAGGAAGCCATATGCGTAAGCGAGCTGTCATCTTCGTTTTCCCATTTCACCGATGCACCGCATTGAAATTTTTGCACTGAATTGAAGCATACTTCACTTATTGTGCTATATATAAATACAACTATCTTGACGATTCTTCCGTAGGATTTGCATCGGTGACATTACCGATACTCTGTTGAACCTTGTAGATGCTTTTGTTTTAGGAAATAGCCATACAAAATGGTAAGTTTTGATGACAATTAAAATAACCTTCTTAAAGGTGTCAATGATTTTGGAGAAATAACTGCTACATGAGGGATTTTTTTTAATTGAATACTTCAGTTTTAAATAGTCTCTTGTGCAGGACTGGAGAGAAAAGTTGCTTCTGTGCCTTGCTTGATTTGTTATTTGGGAGAGGAATACAACAGTAACTAACTCTATAACATCATTAGAAAAAGAACACAATAACCCTGTAGCCTCCCTCATCATAGGGGCATACTGACCTTCACTGTTCGAATTTCCAATAACCTATAGTTTTTTTGACTAAAAAAACGACTCTGCAATAACCTCTAGTAACTTACTCACATTGGTATGGTGGATCGGCAGTCTGCAGATTAGCTTAATGCAAAGCATGACTGACCAACTCATGCACCTGATATTTACAGTTTGACATATCATGCTGAGCAGTGGCACCAAAGCACAATCCTATTAGGGACTCAAAAGCTCATGTAAAGCAGATGACTACTGGAAATCTGGAATCAGATGGCAGATGACTGAGCAGGAATCTGCCGGTGGATTCTCCTCACAAACCATGCTTTACACTCTTGTGCTATTTGTCTCTTGTTTTGGTCCAAAGACACGTCATTTGCCTTAATTCATAACATACAGGCAGGACATGAACTCAAACCAGATTTACTGTTTTAGCAAGTTCTGTGCACTGAAAATCATTATCCTGACATATGTGACTTTGCTCAGGCTTTATCATTACCACAGAGATGTTAGTTTTACTAATTTCCAAAGATTCATTTCTGAATATTATATCAGCTGTATTTACAGTCCGATATGAATATTTGCAGTGGGGGATTGCATACTGTGTCAAAGGGGGGCTTAAAAAGGAGCAAGAAGCAATGAAGGTTGGTGCTTCTTTTCCTTGTAGATTAAAAGAATGAGTAGATTTATGAGGCTAGAATTATCTTGACAAATTTATTTTGCAATTCAGTACTTGGAAAGAAGAGAGTGTGAGTATGACCAGAAGATCTCTGTGGATTTCTACAAGGTACTCGTTTTGCATCAGGCATTATTTTAGAAAATAAAAGTCAATTATTTGCATTACTCTAATATCCTATTGTTGAATTTTATTGTTTAGGAAGGAGATTCTTTGAAGCCAGCTGTGACAGGTGTACTAGTGTAAGGGTTCAAACTGCACGATTGAAATTTCCATGATATAACTTGTTAATTTTCTGTTTAACTCACTTACTTTGGTGCTTGTGCAGCTTTGTATCCACTCCTGATCCAGTAGGCAACAAATACTATCTTGGGCCTGCTCCTTTGGAGGACATGGCAAGGTGGGCTATTCATCTCATGGTGCACTTTTACTGGCTTACTGCTTGATTAGCATCATTTTCTGACTACTTGATCATTTTTTTTAATACCAGGCAAATTGCTACAGCCAATGGCCCCAATGGGAATAACAGGGATTACCTGTTCTCAATGGAGAAGGCATTGTCCAACATATGTAAGAAAAAGATCTTTTTACGATATCTTTATTTGATCAAAGCTCATGACATACTCATTTCTAATATTCCTATTCATTTTTTTATATAAAAAAAATGACTGCATCAGTTTTCAGTACATGTATGTGCTAGTTGATGGCCTGCTGCTTATATATTTGGACAACAGGACCGCACTCACAGAGATTTTCATAGTATAATTACAAATGATGCTACGTTGCTTTGTTCAGGCCATGAAGATGATTCAATCATCGAGCTAGCTAACGAGGTCAGGAAGGTGTTGAGCCGGCCGAAGGAGAAGATCACTGGCTCCGATAGCCCACAAAAATCTCACGCTCTCGTACACCTGTCTGCGCTTCCTGAGGGCACTGTTGTGGACTCAAGATAGCAAGCTCGGCGGTGGAAGAGATGAGATCTCCTCTGACCTACTCACTCTTGACGCTGGATTGAACGAGTTTAACAGTCTGCTTCGAGCTCCCTGGCACACTGGGGAACCAGAATGTGCTGATTTTCTTTCGCAACCGCTGCGGCAATGCTGTAACTTTCATTTTGCTAATACTAGAGCCGAGACTGGTGTGCTGCTGTTTCCTTTGACACACTAAATAATAAAGGGATTCCATGAGCTTTTCACTCTTGAGCTGTTGCAACTTGGTTCTCCTCGATTGTTGATATTTGGAGAGTTGTAGGAGAGCTCGAGAAAATGAAATTTTCACCTATCCATGATTTCCCCGTTGTCTACACATCATCTGTGCACATGAATTTTGTTGAACAGATAGATGTAAAGCGAAGTTCTGTATAATAGCATATCAGTTGGCATTTCCCACGATTGACAATTTAGGAGAACGGGAGAACCGAACCATCGCGAATGCGTTTTCGTGGTAGGTGAAGAAGCCTGTTGTAGTGGGAATCAGATCCTCTAAAGTCGGACAAATCGACTTCCCTCTCCAGTCACTCATCTGGACCATCCGATTTGGATCTAACCGTGAGACCAGCAAAACACTAAAACAAACCAGGCCTGTAACCGGCCCATATCTGCCCAATGACTAGCGTCCCGGACTCTGGTCGACTCGTTCTACTCCGCCGCCGCGATGGCCAGGTCAGCGTTCCCCTCCACGACCGGCCGCCACCGCGACGCTCGGCGCTCCCTACCTCACCCCGGAGGTCCGCCCCGGCGAGCCAGCGCCCCAGCGATCTGCGCCCCGTGGGATATTGTGAATGAAATCCAAAAGATGTTTGCTGATTACTGCAAGCTCATATGGCTGCACAAAATAATTGCAAGTCCGTAACTTGCAACTTTCATATGGCATTATGGCTCATTACACAGAACTAGGAACTAAAACTGTCTGAACATGATGGACAAGGAGGTTGTTGAGCCATACTCCTGAGTGCATATGGGGTATAATCTGTACTACTAGAATTCACCAATAACAATAACAGCATCTGTCATTGCTCCCTGATAATTAGAAAAACAAAATTCAACATAATGGCCATGTATGATTCAGAGAAAAAGTGTATTACTTTGAAATATTACCATCAATAGTTCAGATAAGCTATTGCTGACCCTGTAGGATTCAGAGATCCCTTCTTCAGGCAATGATGTATGATTCAGACATGTATTTTGTATTGCTGCACCATCATCGACCACCACTTTTATAGTTTCTTGCTCCTTTAAATAAAAGATAATTAAATAGTTACATACAATTGAAACTATTTGCAGGAAATACAACTAGAGATAATCTGGTATATTTTGTGCTGTCATGTTGAAATTATAAGCACATAACGATTTAATTTATTCCATAAATAAATCATGACATTGCAGATGTAAACTAGGATGAACGCATCATTAGATCTACACATGTAAACTAAGCAATAAAGCATGAACAGATCAAATATGCGCAGCATGTCGAACATGTACCGAGGTGGCGGAAAGACCGGTTGCTCGGCAGGAACTACTCGCGGTTGCAGGCGTCGACGAAGGCGCGCAGCACGTGAATGGAGAGGAAGGCGAGCCGTCGCGGACGAACAGGGAGTAGTCACGCGAAGCGCTTCCCAAAAACCTTATGCCGCATTCTCCCAGTGCAGGACGTCGAAGGCAGAGGTTCCGGAGACCTACTCTCCCGATCGCCGGTGCACGCCGGCGAGCGGGATGGAGTAGTCTACGAGCGACGGCGCAGCACAGAGTAGGAGGCAAACCCTAGATTGATTCCGCGTATGTTGCGTGAAGGCGGCGGCTCGGTTTATATAGAGATAGGTAGCTTGATCAGGGCGCCCGCACGATCTCCATTCCGCGTAACCGAACCGGATAAGTCGTGCGTAACTTATCCGGACTCCATGCCGTTTTCACGCACCGGATTTTTCGGAATGTTTCCAAAACAAAACAAATCTGAATTTCTTGCAGCAAAACAAAATTGCAAAAGGAGGCTGCATCTGCGTAAGGGTGAGGAGCCAATTTTGCGGACCATTCGACGCGTACGTCATGCACGCGCGCCGCCTGCCCTGCCAGGCCAGGCCAGGCCAGCGAGCGCACACGTGTGTTTCCTCTCTTCTCTCCACCACACATGCTTCAAGTAGCTAGGAGGGCATCCTCCCTTTTAAGGAGGTCCCCCTCTCCTAGAATAAGCAAGGTGGTACTAAACTCCACATGCATGCCATCCCATGAGGTGCGCTTTTGTGATTTTCCAAAGAACTAATCTTTGAATGGGCCTTAGCCCATCTATTAATTCCAACAATCCCCCACCAAATCTCAAAATCCCATTGAGATTTGCCTTTTTCAATGTACTATTTATATACCAGCGGTTCGATGGAGACCGATTAAGGTTGAACATCCACCTAGAACTCCAAGCTACACTTACTCACAACTTGAACAATAGACTACGCCTTGAATTGCAACTCTTGTACAAGCAAGTTTCACTCAGAGTCTTATCTGGTACTAGACCGTCTGTAGACTACCCCTCGGGTGGAACGTATAAGTCATACTCCTAGGTCTTTAGTAAGCTTCCTAGAAGATTCACCCAAAATCTCTATAGACTGCGACCAATAGTCAAGCTCACAAAGGTGAGTTCTTTCAAGAATGCTTTACGGGAAAGCATCTTCGCTAATTAAAGCCAACAGAACTCATTAAGGCATAGCCAACCTGCCTTGCAGCTCACGAGAGTACATGCATCTTCACTTAAAGAGGGTATTGATTGGTACTCTCCTCTAGTTTACTAATGGTTTGTTCTTCCCAGGTTCTAATTCACGGGATCTCCGATCACATAGACTGGGTTACCACCATAATATAACTCACATGGGTCTCAAGCCCATCTCCTTCGATGCATTGTCTATCACATTTCGTGATAGTCCCTTCGTGAAGGGATCTGCTAGGTTTCTAGCTGTTTGGATGTAATCCAACGTTATAACTCCGGAGTTTCTCAATTTCCTGACAGACTTCAATCGTCTTTTCACATGTCTAGATGATTTCATATTATTCTTAGAACTATTCACTTTGACGATTACCGTTTGATTGTCACAGTTCATAAGGATAGCCGGCACCGGTTTTTCAACAATAGGCAGATCCATTAATAGATCACGCAGCCATTCTGCCTCAACAGTAGCAGTATCCAGTGCCGTCAACTCTGCTTCCATGGTTGACCTCATCAAAATGGTCTGTTTGCAAGATCTCCACGAAACAGCACCACCACCTAGTGTGAAAACATATCCACTAGTGGCTTTGATCTCATCCACATCAGAGATCCAGTTATAATCACTATATCCCTCCAGTACCGCAGGATACCCAGAATAGTGAAGCCCCAATTCCATAGTACCTTTCAGATAGCGCATTACTCGCTCAAGTACACGCCAGTGATCATCTCCTGGATTAGAGGTAAATCGGCTCAACTTGCTCACAGCAAAGGAGATATCAGGCCTAGTTGCACTAGCCAGGTACATCAGTGAGCCAATGATTTCGGAGTATTCCAGTTGATTCCTAGCAATTCTCTTGTTCTAGCCAGGTGTTGGAGAAGGCTTACTATCAATGTAGCCAGAGCGATTCAAGATCTTCTCCACATAATGGGACTGCAAGAGTGTAATCCCATTCTCACCTCTAATTAGCTTAATGTTTAAGATAACATCAGCTACTCCCAAATCCTTTATATCAAAATTTTGAGACAAGAATGATTTAACCTCATTTATCACCTCAAGGTTTGTCCCAAATATCAGTATGTCATCAACAAACAAGCACAGAATAACTCCCTCACCCCCACCATGGCGATAATACACACATTTATCTGCCTCATTGACAGCAAAGCCTGGAGATGTCAATGTTTTGTCAAATTTCTCATGCCATTGCTTAGGAGCTTGTTTCAGGCCATACAAAGACTTTAACAATTTGCACACTTTGCCTTCTTGACCTTCAACTACAAACCTATCAGGCTGATCCATATAGATCTCCTCATCCAGCTCTCCATTAAGAAAAGCTGTCTTAACGTTCATTTGGTGAACGAAAAGACCATGTGAGGCTGCTAGGGAAAGTAGCACACAAATTGTGGTCAGTCTAGCAACAGGTGAGTAAGTGTCAAAGAAATATTCGCCTTCTTTCTGAGTGTAGCCCTTAGCAACAAGCCAAGCCTTGTACTTTTCAATAGTACCGTCAGGCCTAAGCTTCTTCTTGAACACCCACTTGCACCCCACAGGTTTACACCCATAGGGTCACTCTATCACCTCCCAAGTCCCGTTAGCGATAATAGAATCCATTTCACTACGGAAAGCCTCCTTCCAGTAGTCTGCATCAGGAGATGCATATGCTTCTGAAATTGACTTAAGAGTGTCATCCACGAGGTACACAGTGAAATCATCACCAAAGGACTTAGCCGTCCTTTGTCTCTTACTCCTTCGAGGAGCTTCACTGACATCCTCCTCAATGACATGTTCATGTGTATGTTCAGTTTGTTCTGGTGGTGTGATTGAACTGGGAATTATTTCAGAGGGTTGGCTCGAACTACTATGTGTATCCTTCATTGGGAAAAAGCTCTCAAAGAAGGTAGCATCACGAGACTCCATAATTGTACCAACATGCATGTCAGGTACCTCAGATTTAAATATTAAAAATCTATAGGCAATGCTGTGATGAGCATATCCCAGAAAGATACAGTCCACAGTCTTAGGTCCAAGTTTGCGCTTTTTCGTTATTGGTACATTGACTTTCGCCAAACACCCCCATGTGCGCAAATAAGAAAGTGATGGTTTTCTCCCAATCCATATCTCATATGGTGTTTTGTCCTTATTTCTGTTAGGAACTCTGTTTAACACATGATTCGAGTTCAACAATGCGTTCACCAAGTCAGTCAGAGTGCGGTTCTTCCTTTCAGCAATCCCATTAGACTCAGGAGAATAAGGAGGCATCCTCTCATGTATGATGCCATGTTCCTCACAAAATAAGTCAAACTCGTTTGAGAAAAACTCTCCACCACGATCAGACCTAAGCCTTTTTATCTTTCTGTCAAGTTGATTTTCAACTTCTGCCTTATAAATTTTAAAATAGTCTAGAGCCTCGTCTTTCGTTTTCAACAAGTACACATAGCAAAATCTAGTAGCATCATCAATCAACGTCATGAAATATCGTTTTCCACCCTTCGTCAACACCCCATTCATTTCACA